TGTGTGTGTGTTGACTGTTGAATCTTGTGTGTACGTTCATGTGTGACATGTATGTATGTGTGTGTGTGTTGACTGTTGAATCTTGTGTGTACGTTCATGTGTGACATGTATGTATGTGTGTGTGTGTTGACTGTTGAATCTTGTGTGTACGTTCATGTGTGACGTGTATGTATATGTGTGTTGACTGTTGAATCTTGCCTGTAGGTAATAAACTGAATGAAGCTGCCCACCAGCAACAGTTCAACCGCAACGTGGAGGACGTGGAAGGCTGGCTGGCAGACATCGAGTCCTCGCTCATCTCGGAGGACTACGGCAAGGTAAGCGACCCGGAGACTCACTTCTGCTCTGACAACAGCTTCCTAGAAAGAAACTTTTCCTTCAGGGCCACGTGTGCTTTGCGTGAAGCTACCTCCTTGCACGATGTCGGTGGGGGGGGGGCATGATCTTGTAAGTTTGGAAGAAACATTCCTGCCTGGGGACAGATATTTGCACAGCCAAAATGTTTGCAGACCTTTCAACTAATTTTGAGGGGAAGTTTTGTTCGTTGACGAGTGGGTTTTTGTCCCCCCAAAAAGGCAGTGGTGCAAAGAGGGAGAGTCGTGCTGAGCAAACGGGCCGTGTAGATGTTCGAGTGTCTTGCTTTCAGTTTTGTCCCTTCATTTGTATGTTTTTCTTTGACATGCCCATCTGGTATAGCAGGTTTTGGCCTCATCATTTGGTGGATTTATTTGTGTGTTCATATGCACCCATCTTGTATCATTAAGGAATGGTTTTCAAAGATCCAACTGTGATTTAAACTTTCTTTGGTAGTTATAGAAATATAGTATGAGGAAAATGTAGTAATATGGAAAGGCCAGGAAACCCCCCCAGAGGTTGGCCAAATATTTGTGGCTTATGTTGAGTTTTAGAAAAGCAGTTATTGGAGATGTGGGTCAGATGTAAGTACTCAATTCATTTCTCTAGGTGCCCAGTCTTAATGGGATACATTCATGTGTGCCATATGATCATTCAGTGGAACTTTTTGCATTCTTGATCCTCTCCTAAGACCCTTTTTGTCTTTGAAATCATTTGCATTGATAATTCTTAGCATTTTTAGTGTGTTCATTTTAATGAGTGTTTGCTTCATTGATGTCCTGGCCGTGTTTGTCATCTGTTGATGGCTCACTTGCTACTGTCTCCCTCTCTCTCAGATGTCTCCCTCTCTCTCAGATGTCTCCCTCTCTCTCAGATGTTTCCCTCTCTCTCACATGTCTCCCTCTCTCTCACATGTCTCTCTCTCTCTCACATGTCTCCCTCTCTCTCAGATGTCTCCCTCTCTCTCACATGTCTCCCTCTCTCTCACATGTCTCCCTCTCTCTCACATGTCTCTCTCTCTCTCACATGTCTCCCTCTCTCTCACATGTCTCCCTCTCTCTCAGATGTCTCCCTCTCTCTCAGATGTCTCCCTCTCTCTCAGATGTCTCCCT